GGGAAAGTTTTTTTTTAAAAGATTATATACATATATCCACTCTCTCAGATGGATGTAAGCATCATATACTGCAAGTATGTACCAATAACCAAAAAACACCAAAATTTCAAAATATCCAGTCTTTAACAAAAGAGAAACAAGAAAGCAAAGCCCACTCATGGAGAGGAGAATAAAAAGGAAATCAGGCAACGCACTTAATAGACAAATTGACTATTTCAAATAATGTTACAAGGAGCTAAGTCAGCCATGTGATTTACCATCAATACAATGTCAGTGATAGCTAAGCAACTATACTGTGTGAAATGCACTTTAAAAGAAGCAGAAGTGATAGCTCACTGGCAGAGTACCTGCCTAACACATACAGGACCTAGGTTTTTCTCCCCCTAAGCAGAAAGGAAAAAATAAAACCCCAAAAGAAAAATTGGTAAGACAACTAACAGAACAGATGCAAGACATATACAAGTCATACGTCTGATAAGTTTAAGATGTAGAATTTATAAAGATCTCTTAACCGTAAACAACAAAAGAGCAAAAATTAAAGAATGAAAAATAAACTAAAATGAGCCAATACTTTAACTGTAATTTTTCTAAACAAGTATTTGTAAAAGATGTTAATATTCAAGAAGCACCTACAAAGATGTTTCACATTAATATTCATTAGAGAAATGCAAAACAAAACCACTATGAGGTATTATTTCACAACAGGATGATATTATAATAAAAAAAATCCAGAAAGCACAGTGGTGCCTCATTTTATGAACTTAATTTGATTTTATGATTTTGGGGAAGATGGCTGCATTTGTGCTTGTGTGAGAAAGATGGTCATGATCATGTTCATCACTGGAGACAAAGTTTGTGAATGGAAGCAAAATTTTACCAAATGCTTTGTTTGTGAATTGAACTATTTGCGAACAGAAGCATTCATGAACCAGGGTATTACTGCGACAAGTACTGAAAAATGTGAAAAAACGTAACTCTTATGCTGCTATTATAAATGTAAAATGGCTGGATGTAGTGCTGTACACCTGTAATCCCAGCACTAGGGAGGCTGATACAGGAAGATCACCACGTGTCTGAGGCCAGGCTACAAAATGAATTCAAGGCCAGCCTGAACTACATAGTGAAATCCTGCCTCACAAAGACTAAATAAATAAATAAGAGAGAAAATGGATCTGGAAAACAACCTGGCAGTTCTTTATCACTTAAAGAAATGATCAACATACAAACCATATTTCATATTAACATATGTTCAAAAGACTTGAAAACACATACACAAATAATTAATTAAAATGTTCATAGAACACTCTTCCCAATAGGTAATGGAAACAATGCAAATGTCCATTAACAGAGTAATGCATTAATAAAATGCAATATGTGTGTAATGTTTACATAAACGCACACATACACCCTCCCCAAATAACCGAATAGTCATTAAAAGGCATTAAGTACAGATGTATACTACAATGTGGATGCTCCTGAAAAACATCATGTTGTGTTAAAGTGGTTACACACAAAGGTCCCACATTGTATGACTCTATTCATATAAAACAGGTAAATCAATAAACAAAGAAAGATAATTAGTTGCCAAGGGCTAAGGATAGAAGGAAATGAGAAGGTCCTGTTTAATAGGCACAAAGTTCCATTTTGTGTTAGCAAACAATTTTGGAACTAAATGGAGATGACTATGAATTATGAATATATTGAATGGTCAAGAATTCTATTATATTTGGAATGACTAAGTATTCCATTATATGGGGGGAGGGTGTGGGGGAGTGTTTATGTATACATTATACACATACTATATTTTGTTAATGTATTATTAATCTGCTAATGGACATTAGTGTTGTTTCCACTTTAGCTATTGGGATATGTGTTTCTATGAACATGTTCAACAATTATTTGTGTACACTTTAGAAGTTCATTATTTGAATTTTATTTGCACAAAAACTCAAAATATTAGGAAAACAGAAAAAGCCACTGAACTGGACATGGTAACATTTAATCAAACAGCAGTGTTTCAAAAATACTATTATTTTGGAAAAACTGAAAAATTATTACAGAGTGGTCATGTAAAAGGATGGTGCAACTACACGGAGCTCAGTATTGATGATCTAATGGAAAGTATAACTCAGAGAAAACCTGTGTAAACCCTCAAGCTTCTTTTGCTCTTAACTTTTATAACTCATTAATTTGGAAGGCCACTACCTTGGCTTTAGATGAGATTTCTGACTGAAGCGAACTGCTTAAATGAAGCAAACTGCTTAAAATTGTCTTTAGTCACCTTGCTCAGGGGAAAGATGCCTTTGTATCTTAATGATTAACTGCAAAGTTAGCTACTTCGGGGAAAAGGAACTAAAAAGACATGAGTCTGCTAACTCACTGTTAAGTAACTTTTCACTAGATTTACAGAACCCAGGACATCTGATGATCTTCAGATAACATCAAAATGTGGGGCCAAGAACTCGCTAATCTTGTTCTGATCCAATGTTCACACCTCAGTGAAATAAGTTTTCTGCCAGGCATGGTGGTGCATGCCTGTAATCCGAGCACTCAAGTAGCTCAAAGAATCGCTGTAGTTCGAGGCCAGCCTGAATTACATAGTAAGACCCTTTAATTAAAAATGGAATGATGTTTAACTTGTTGGGAAATGTGTTTATTCAAAAACTATACCTACACCACACACACACACACACACACACACCCCAGACACTAATCCAGGAGACTACAGTTGAGGATATTCTAGCAGAAAAACAGAAAAAAACATTCCAAGTTACAGAAATAGTGATGGAGAGCTTGAGTGTACAATTTAGCATTAGACTTCTGCCCACTGTCCCCATTCCTCTTTTCTCTCCCTAAAAAGTACTTTGTGCCTGAGCTCTCTAAAATGGACCTTTGAAGATGACTGCCCCTCCACTCTGTCAGGGCCAGCCCTTGATTTCCAATATAGCATAGTGATGCATGTTTATAATTCCAGGACTCCGAGAGACTAACGCAAAAAGACCTCAAATTCAAAGTCAAGCCCACTGTAGGCAACTTAGCAACACTCTATCTCAAAATTTAAAAAATCAATAAATAAAACTAAAAAAGCCAAACCAAACTCACTTAATTGCTTTCCATCAACTCTTGTCTTTCCAATATTAGCTTTTGAGGAGCAGGCGGGTGGACCTCAGCCCAGTAGTAAGAGTTAATCAAAAGACAGATGTTTCAGAAAATAAGTTATAATTTAGCAACTACTATAAAATGAATGACAAGAATTAGTTTTCAACAACTCAAGAACTGTCAACAAGAATCATGGGAAGATGTTCCTTCTAAAATTTTCCAAAAGTTCAAAGGCTGTCAGTAACAAGAAAAATGAGTTATTAATTTGTGGAGATCACTGTCTGAGGCTACAAAGAATCATCCAAGCACAAACACACATTAAATGTTAAAGAGATGTGAACTTGCACCTTAAATGAAAAATAATCAAAAACTCAGGCTTTAAAAACACAAGATAATAAGCTGGGCATGGTGGCATATGCTTATATCCCAGCACTCAAGAGGCCAATGCAGGGTTACTGAAAGTTTGAGGCCAGCATGGTTACACAGTCAATTCAAGGAGAGCCTGAACTACAAAGAGAATCTCTGTCTTACACACACACACACGCACATGCACACGCACACGCACACACACATAGCTGGATCTAGGAGAATACTGAAAAGCAAGGAATCATTCTGTTCTATTGTTCACTCACATTCAGTTTTAATTTAAAATCTTCAGCAGTACTACTAAAATGTAACAATAATTACATAACAATATCACTACAGAAAGACCTGTGTAAATTGAGAACCAAGATTGTTATCCTAAATGATCTACTACAAAATTACACTACAGAAACAGTATTAACTAAAAGTTTCACATCAAACAAGGTAAACAAAAGAGAAAATAACATTTAGCCTGGAAGATATTTTATATGTAGGTTCTACTCAGATTTAACTACAGTTTGGATTTTAGTTGTGAAAAAAGTGATTTAAGTTTAAAGGAACACTTCTCCCTCCTTTGTAAAATATAGGTCCTGCAAGGGATTTACATCTCAAATTTCTTGAAACTATGCTTATATTTAAAACAGACTAATAGGAAGCTTTATTTACTTATGCTAGAATAAATGAACTGATTAAAATTTTCACTTTCTTAGCTTTGGAATATATGTGTTCATTTTGGCTGGCCAGAAGCCCTGGTACTGTATATTAATATATACCTATGTTCAATAAAAACAAAAAGAAATTATTAACAAATATGGGTTAATAAGGTAACATTCTTTAAAATGTCATGGAAAATAAGTAACTAATATAAAAAGAATCCCTTAAAATATTATTTAGCACTAGTTATGGAATGCTAGATACCAAGCTTTCATCAGTGTCAAAAAAAAAAAAAAAGGTACTAAGTTAGTTTCTAATCTCTATTATGTCACTTAAAAGTTCAAAAAAGGAACTCAGAAAAACTAATACCTCATCATCATTACAAAGGTACTTAGTTAAAATGAAATAATCCAAGTGAGATAGATCCTTCATCTAATAAAATTGGTGCCCTTAAAAAGAGGGAAATTTGAACATAAGCACACATACAGAAACAATCCCCACGAAGATAATTTAAGAGATTAAGGGAATACTTCCAAAAGACAAAGAACATCAAACATGTCAGCAAACCAACCGAAACTACAAGAGGCATGGAACAGAGTCCTCTTCATACCATCAGTTTTCAAAAAAAAAAAAAAAAAATCAATCTTCCAAACTCCTTTTTCTTACACTTTGATCCTCATCAACTAAGAGATAATAATACATTTCGGTTGATGAACCACTCTGTTCATGTACTACTTTTAAGCAGTCCTATGAAACTAATATAAAAATTCTTTTTACTTTCAATACTTAGAATTTAAACGAACATTATAATTAACTTTGAGAAAAACCAAGGAATAAATTATAAAAATGATACATGGCAATATGATCAAAGTCAGCATACAAACCTGTAGTTCAGTAAGAACTGTTTTGTGCCTCTTGTTACATTCGATCTTTTCCACACGAGATTTCAGTTCTGCTAAAGTCTTATCAAAAACAGCACACTGCAGTGCACACAATTTTTCTTCCAGCAACCACTGCATAACCTAAAGAAATACATATTCCTTAGTTATACAAGGGCAACTCAGCAAGTAAAAAGACAGTATTAAGTCGGGCGTGGTGGCTCACGCCTGTAATCCCAGCCTCAGGAGGCTGAGGCAGGAGGATCGTTGCAAGTTCAAGACCAGCCTGGGCTACAAAGTGAGCTCAAGGCCAGCCTGAACTGCATATCGACACTCTGTCTCAAAAAGACAAAAAAAAAAAAAAAAAAAGACAATATCAATAGTATTAAGATAGCAATGCATTAAATAAATAAAACATGCTTACTTTAATAAATATAACCCATAAACCTATGGTATCTACAGAAATTTTATATATCGAGAGTAGTATATGCTACAAATTTCCAGAGAGTAAAAATTTGAAAAGAATTTCAAATTTTACTGTTTTCTTCCCATACTGTCTTACCACATTCAAACTACTTACAGGAAATTGGTTAAGGAACTGGTTTTCCAATTTTCTAATGTTATAGACTGATATTTTATAAGATATACTAAGAATGTTACACTCCATAAAACATTTCTAAGTACACAAAATTTCCATCTCATGATGGGACTCACAATAAATGAGATACTGGCATATATCCAAGAACCATTACCTGAGTTAACAATGATCTAAAGAAGAAAATTCAGAATACACATAAAAGTTTTCAAAATTTTTTCATGTATCTATACAAGTATAGGACTAAAGAAGCAATATTATCTCTATATATAAAAGAAAAGAAAATGTACAGGAATGGAGGACACTTTTATCACTTCACTCTTATTTCTAGGAAGCATAAGTATTTGTACTATATCTTAACGGAAGAACCTTGATTATAGTATGGGTATGTTGATGTATCCCAAAACGCCAGCACTCTGGAGGCTAAGGCAAAAGGATCCTAAGTTCCAGCACATACTACAAAATTTAGCAATTTTATCAGATCCTGTCTTAAAGTAAAATATGTTAAAAGATCTGGGAATGTAGCTCAGTGCAAAGGCCCAGGATTCAGTCCCTACTGTTTTAAAAAAAAAACCTTCATAATACAATTTCACCATTAAACATATACAACTTTGCAAAATCAAGTTTCACATGCATCCCTTCAAGTCACTTACTATAGTGATGTATGTGCACAGTCTCAAAATATATAAAATCCTGCATATTTTCATTATTTCTATCTCTAGCCTAAAAGACATCAAGAGAGGTTTCCAAAATCTTTGCATATGCATCCTACTGCTAGTCCTTTTAAAGTCCTTGCCCCACCATTTTTAATATTAACCATAAAGTACATAGCAATTAGAACCAAACTTGTATCATGAAATTACTTTATGAAGATTAAAGTACCAACATGCAAAACCCTGATGTTTTTCACTATGAAGTTGAACATAGGAAGAAAAAAAAGAGAAAGTTCAAACAACAGTTCAATTTTGTTACACAACAAAACCAAGATGTATCATTATGTCTCCCTTCCACTTTGAAAATCAGTTACCTTCTCCAAATAAATCATGTGGCCAAAAACAGTTTAGAGGAATTGTGAAGTTAAGTTATTAACGATAATCACATTATGTCTTAAGCTCAGCTACTTTCTTCAAATTATCTTTTGGTGGGAAACCTGGTGTCAGTAAAACAGAATACTATAATGCCAAAAACCTAGAGGAATAAAGACAGTGGTAATTTTTATTTAATAACATAGCTTTTAATTATTTCCAACACCTTTTGAAGCTTCTGGTTAATGTCTCCTTTGGCTGTAATCTTTACTTGAAATTCTGCCTCATATTCCTCTTCAATATATTGACGACGACGTTTAGACTGTACATTATCCATGTCTTCTGATTTAGAACGCTTTCTTCCAAGAAATTCATCTGAAAATAAAAACCACAATGATTAGCCAGGTGCTTTTACTCAAAATTTTTGTGCCTCTTCTCCACACTGGGTAAAATACTGTTTTTATCTATTATAACAGCATTCTCAATTAATTATTTTGGAGTTTGGGGGCTCAGAAAAACAAGTATACTGTTTTTAGCTTTAAATCTGAAATGATTTTCAGTACTCTAAAACCATTATAATGTCTAAACAACACACACAATAAATATAGAACATGAAATTTTCATATTAAAATGGAAAATTAGTTAAGTGCAGTGGTACACACCTGCAAGCCCAATTACTCAGGAGGCTGAGGCAGGAGGAGCCCAAGATCAAAGACAGCCTGGGCAATGTAGTAATATTCTGTCTCAAAATAAAACAAATAAAAAGGCTTTTCCTCTCTTTTGGTAGTAGTAGGGACTGAACCTAGGAAGTGAGGAGCTGTATTTGGATGGGAGAGGAAAGAAGAACAGGAGAGAGGAAGGAAAGGGAAGGAAGGAGAGGGGATGGTACATATCATCTCATATTCTTTCCCATTACTAAATTTTATAGCGCAAATGAATCCTCCAACAAAATACAATAATCATTCTCATACATAGACTTCCATCAACTGTACATAATTTGAACTATATCTCCTCAGTAAATATAGGAAAAATTCTTATTAACAAAATAACAATACTGCAAAAAAAAAACTAATACTGTAAAATTCTTAAGTTACCTTTAAAAATTCCAAATATATAAAAAGTAACGAATGTCATTACAGAAAGTAAAAAGTGAACATTCAGAAATCTTCACTTTACAAAACTGCTATTTCAAATCATATTAACATTTCATAAGATCATAAGCAAATCTTTTCTGGTTTTATTCAATATATAAAAAACTTCAAGCACTAAAATCCCCAAAGCCCTGAAAAGCATATTCTCTTATATAACCATACCCATACCTTTGTGCCTGTTTTTGAAATGTCAGTTTGATCTGTAACTTCTCTTATAATAACTTAGCTATAGTAATACTTACAGAGCAAGATGACAGGGAGAATTACAGAACTCAAGGGTCCTGATAGCTTGTCCAGTGATCTTCCTATCACCCTAACAACACTCAGGCCTATCCTTTCCCTTTCTGTGGAGCTCTTAAGTGAAACATACACTATCACTTATTTATATCAGCCCAGACAAAATTCCTAGTCTTGTAAGTTAAACAAAGCTATAAGTTTCTCTCAAAACAGATACCTTAAATTGTGAGCCTAAGTCAATCAAAAAATATAAATAAAATTTTAAAAACATTAAACTATATTCCAATACATTCGAGGGTACTTGAGGCAGTCATCTTTTGAAATGAGTTAATTAGATTTTAAACTGCAAGTTTTTATAAATCACCTCACGCACAGAAATGGATCGATACTCAGTGGCCCTAAAACTGGAAACAATGGATTATTTCTCAGGCTACTTCAAGTGTGTTTGTACATGCATACTTTTCTCAGAAGGCCTTTCATCTTCATCTGTCACTTGCTCTTCTTGCTCAGGTTTGAGGTCCTTTTCATTCCTCTCTACTTCTGCTAGAATAAAAATAGAAAAGGAAAATTTTTCGTCTACTGGAATTCACAACAGTTCATTAATTTACAGTTTTGGCAATCAGTTACTAAACTAACGTTTAATAAAACCAGAGTCTCAAAATGCAAAATTTTGTGAAAAAATAGCAACATCAACTGACAGAATTGAATGACCAAGTTGACATTCAACTGTTCTGTAACTCACAGTAAACTCAACATGGAACAATAATATTAAGGTTTGTTTTTTGTTATGTTTTGTTTTTGAGACTATGTAGTTTCAGCTGTCTTGAATTCACTCTTACCTCAGCCTCCTAAGCGCTAGGATTATAGTCATGGGCCACCATGTCTGGTTAATATTATGGCTTTTAAAACAAGCAATCTTACTTAGTAACTGCAGTAATAAGATTAATAAAATGTGAATACAATATTATAAAGCAGAGATTCTCTTACATTCAATTATTAAAACTACCATAAATAGCTGTGACAATTACTGAAATACTACAAACTAATAGTCAATTTGAAACTAGTATTTTGTAGAAGGTAGAATGAAGTTATTTTAATAGTTACAGGATAATGCATAAGGAAGTGAAGAGGCTATCCTAAATGCAATAACCACTTTATTTAAAAATAACCCCTATTATGGTAACAGTGTTGGGCTGGGGTTTTAGCTCATGGCACAAGCGCCTGCCTACCAAGCACAAGGGAGTTTGATCCCTCACACTCCTCCCCCCAAGAAAAGCCAAAAGGGCCTGGTCTGTCTCTCAATAGGCTTGATAAATGTTCTTTAGAGAGCAAAACTATCTTTTAATAAGAAAAAAACACCTTTACCTCTAAATGCTAGTATTATATACTGGGAAAAAATTTTTCTGCTTTTTCTACTAAGCCTACCTCCTTATTTTTACTTTCAACAACCTAGATTTTCCAGCAGACATGCTGTTGCGTAACAGTAATTCTCTCTTCCTCTTACTTATTCTAAATCTGAGAGAATGTCACAAAGGTAATCTATGCTAATCTCAAGGGGACTAAGGAAATATCACACAGGAATTACGCTTTGGTTTGACCAAGAAAGGTTTTTCATTTTCATATACTTATACAAAATAATGTAAGAGATGAGATGAGAGGCAGATACTGATGAAATCACATTTATGTTCATATAAGGAGCTTAGAATTAACCTAAAGGTAATAGGAACCTCATGAAAAAGAGGCAGGCCATCCAAGAAATGAAAGAACAGACTGGATAGACTCAAGAGTAAAGAAGAAACAAATGAATAAAGTCTTTATGGAACATACACTCAGGGTTAAAGGTTTCTGGTTTCTAACAATGGTAATATCATTTACCAGAACCCCCCAAAATTTTAAAAATGAGATTTGATTGTAGAGATTATTTGAAAAATAATTTTGTTTGCTACAAACAAAGACAAGAAACAACAACTGCGGGATATGCAATCAATTATGTATTGACTTAAATTGCTATCACAGTATTATATAAATCCCTCTTATCTGTTCCTAGTCAAAAAGTTCTTTATGCACACAGGCTGTATTTTCTACTTATCTCCTTTCTTAGCACTTAGTAAAATGTTACTCAGAGAAGGTATTTTGTAACTCTGAATGCTAATTATGAGGTTAAGAATCAATAAAGTTAAAATATCTTTCTGTATAGTCATAACACTCTCTACTTCTTCAACTTAAAAAAAATTTTATGCAAAGGTATTTATTGAACAGTTAATTAAAGCTGATAAAAAAATTCTTTAAAATTTAAATAACCTACTAACCTGAAGAACATGTTTCATTTTGTGATACAACTTCTGACTCATCTTTCTCACATGAAATATCCTCTTCATCAGAAAGGACCAAAAAGGCTTCTTTAGGCAAACTTTCACTACTTTCTTGTTTAGATGGTGAACCAAATGAAATTTCCATTTTCTCTTCCAAATCGGGATTTGTCTCATCAATTGGAAGGAGAGAAGTTTTAGAAAAGCAGGTAAGTTCATCCTCAGCAGGTGCAAGTTTTTCCAAAATAGGAATAATTTCATCTGTCTCCATAGAATCAGTGTTTTCTAAGACAGTCTCATTTTTGTCACTTTGTACATTTTCACTAATGGTTTCCACAAGGTCTGAAGAATTTTCATCTTCATTCTTTTCACCTTGGTCAATTTCCATACTGCTAGATATAGCCTCTTCTCTAAGAGCAAGTTCTGTGATAGGATCTTCTTCCTTCTTTTCATTTTCAGAGGACAGACCTGAGCAAATCATTGTATCTTCTGTTTCTGGAGTTTCTTCATTACCATCAATATTACTAACAGCTTTCTTTTTCTCATCAACTGAGTCCTTATTCTGAATTTGGCCTGAAGTTTCATCATTCTCATTTTTTTCAAGAAAATTATCTTTATTGCAACTTTGTTCTGTACTGTCAGTTTCAAGAACTGGTTCACAAACTGGTGCAGAACTTGGTTCAAAGATGGGATCAAAAGCAGATTCAGAAGTCAGTTCACTAGAGCCCAGTTCACCAGAGGCCAGATCACAAGAGGCCAGTTCAGCAGAGGCCAGATCATCAGGGGCCACCTCACCAGAGGGCAACTCATTAGAGGCCAATTCACTACAAGAAGGATCAACAGAGGGTGGATCACCAGAAACTGGATCACCAGAGGATAGATTATCAGAGGCACAATTACCAGAAGCTGGTTCACCAGAGGCTCTTTCACTAGAAACTGGTTCATCAGAATCAGGTTCACTAGAAACTAGTTCACCAGAGACAGAATCACCAGCGGCAGGATCACTAGAGCTAAGTTCTGCAGAAGCCGGATCACCAGAGGATGCTGCACTGGTAATGGGATCACCAGAAGTGGAATCACCAGAGGCTGGATCTCCAGCAGCCAGCTCACTAGAGGACAAATCACCAGAAGCTGGCTCAGGGGTTAGTTTAGAGGCTGGTTCAGGAGTTATTTTATTTGGAGACAAAGGCTCATTTAAATCATCATCTTGCTTGTTTTTTACATTAACGTGCAGAATACAGGACTTTTCTTTCAATTCTGTTTTACTCTCTTCAGAACCAAAACAAGTATCTTCAATGCCATTAACTTCTTCCTTATCTTTAATGTAGTCTATATTTTCCAAAGGAGAGGTTGGGTCCAAATCTCCATTTTCATGGCTACCATTTAAAAGCTTAACATCAGTTTTCAATAGTTCTTCTTTGACTTTATATACTGCTTCAAGTTGTTGCCGATCACTCACTCTCATTGTTTTTCGAGCCTTAAAGATTTTTTTCTGAGGTTCTTCTACACTATCCATATCGAATCTTTTAAAAAAGAAAGAGTTTAATAATTAAAACAGAAATCACTTAATTACAGAATTGCTCTTACAAGAGCAGCAAACAGCACTTGCCATGTAATTCTGAAATGACATAAAAGAACTTAATAATCCATGTGTATTTAATTATTTACATAATATGAACATGATAATGGGAATAGTTCATATTAGAAAATCAATTACTATGAACATTCCAAACCAAAAAGGACCAGTTTTCATTCCCTGGGGACTCAATGGAGCATAAATAAGAAAATCAGGCAGAAAAATAAAAGTGTGAGAATAAAACATTAAGAGGCTAGAAAAGAAGCATAAAGGTAAGAAAGAATCAAGGTACATTCAATTGAAGTTTACATTTACAACTATACCTAGTATATCAACACAATTTTAACAAGAGAGTATCTTCAAGAAAATGAAAACATTACTTGTTGATTAAAATTTTAAGCCAGCCTGGCCACAAACATGTCAGCTGAAGGTTAGGCTGGGCAATTTAGGGAAATTCTCTCGCTAAATAAATAAAGGGCTAGTAAGGTAGTTTAGGACTAGAATGCTTGCTTGCCATATCCAAGGCCCTGGGTTCAAGCTCCAGGAACCACCATCCCCCATACATACACCAACACATATATACATACACACACTAAATAAGTAAACTGATTTTAATTAAAAAAGAAAATGAAGACAACTCGCACAATGAGGGAAAATATTTGCATGTTACATATCTGGTAAGAGACTTGTATTTAGAATATATATGAAAACTGTTTATACAATATATGTGCATAGAAATAAGGTTACAACTCAATTTTTTAAAAACCAAGTACTGTAACCCAGTCTAAAACTGGGTAAAGGACTTGAATAGACATTTCTACAGAGAAAGCAACATGAAGAGATGCTTAATATCATATCATTAGGAAAATGAAAATTAAACCACAATGAGAAAACACTTCACACGTAACATTACAGATATATTGAAGAGAATATTAAGTGCTACCCAAGACATAGAGCAACTGAATTTTCATAGTATGCTCGTGTTCTATAAAATGGTACAAGGTGCTTTGGAAAACAGGCAGTTCCTCAGTATATGACTCAGCAGTTCCACTTCTGGAAATCCACCCAAAATAAAACAAAGTATGTCCATGCAAAAACACGTACACAAGTGCTCATCAAAACAATACTCGTAACAGCCCAAACTGAAAACAATCCAAACATTCAGTAAACAACAAAGACTAATAAACTATGGTATGTCCATACACTGGACTATTATACAGCTATAGAAGGAAGAGAGTACTGATATGTGATACAACGTAAGTGAACCTTGAAAACATGATGGAAGAAAGAAATCAGTCATAAAAGATCACATACTGAATGGTATCATTTATACTGTATGTCAAGAACAGGCTAATCTACAGAACTAAAAAGTAAATTATAGATAATTTAATGTTAGAGGCTTTGGGATAAAATAAGAGATGGCTGCTAAGTACACTGCTGTAATCCCAGCACTCAGGAGTCTGAGGCAGAAGGATCGTCACAAGTTCAAGGCCAACCTGTGTTACACAGTCAGTTCAAGGTTAGCCTGAATTCCACAGCAAAACTGTGTCTCAAAAATACAAAACTAAATTATTAAAAGGATAAAAAATACATATATTATAATGTGTTCTGTTGGTAAATTTAGTTAGACACTTTGATAATTCTATTTTTTCAAAGAATGAACTTCTTCCAGGTGTGGTGGTACACTCTAGGAGACTGAAGTAGGTAGACTGCCATGAATTTGAGGTCAGCCTAGATTACACAGTGAGCTTAAGGCTAGCTTGAATTAAGAGTAAAATCCTGTCTCAAAAAAAAAAAAAAAAAAGTGAACTTTTATCTTGGTTGGTATTTGTTTTATATTTGCTTTCTAGTTTAACTGGTTTCTCTCCTAACTTTTTTTTCTCTCACTTTCTTGAATGGGTTAGATTTACCATCTTTCTCCTTGAGATTCAAGTTTAATCATTAGTTTTTAATCATTACTCTTTTGTAATAGACAAACATAAAACTATAAATTTCTAAGAGCTTCTTTAGCTGCAGCTCACATTCTGATGCTTTATAACTCCATTATCCTACTAAAATAAGTGCACTGTGGTATCTTCTTTCATCTGTTAGTTAGCAATAGGTTTATTTAAAAGTTAAGGGGCTGGGGATTTAGCTCAGCGGCATAAAGCACCTGACTTGCAAGCAGGCGATCGTGAGTTCGATCCCCAGCAGCGATAAAAAATAAATGTAAAAGTTAACACATTATAATCAACTGAAATGCAGTTTTAAAAATGTAAGGTTGCTCTCATACCCAGAAATCAATCAATATTGATTGTGAGCAAGTCATGCAACTTTATTTCATGCCCACCACAGTAACTGAATGATGAATTTGGTTTGCCTAATCTAAATGAATGTCTTGTACTGGATTACTGGATGAATAGTGCAATCACTCATCCCTGGAAGTAAATCCTAAATTCCAGTACCTCAAAATGTGCTCTGATCACAATAGATGTAATTAAAATAAAAGGTAGCAAGTGGGCCATAACCCAGCATGATAGGGGTGGGGAGGGGTGTCTTTGGTTTGATTTTTTGAGACAGGCTCTCTCTCTCACCAAGGCTGGCCTCAAATTCACTGTGAAACCTGGATTTGCTTGCACTCACAATCTCCCAGTAAATTTGCTGTTTATATATTTATGTGATGTGTATACATTTAACTGACCACTAAACAGAATGAAAGAATTCTCTCAGTAGATACAGAATATTCATTTGAAAAATTCAAAATTGACTCATAATTAAATTTTCCAAAAACTAAGCCCAGAAACTCAAATCTAATAAGCATATTTACACAGAAAACTACAGGTGTCATTCGTGGTGAAATATCAGGCCAAGACAAGGTGTTCTGTAGCACCATTTCTATGTTATCTCGTGGACAGTGCAATGAAGCAAGTAAAAGAAAACAAAGATCTAGTGGTTCCTGGAAAAAGAAAACGTCACGTCAGTCAACAGTGGAATAAAACAAGTCTTTTAAGAACTAAGATGTAAAAAAGGTAAGAATACTGCTTTTACACTGCTATCCACTTCTTATCACCATTACTCATTGTAATGATAGCAGGATATAACTGTTATGGTTGGGCTCAGGGGACAGCTTCTGATACGATGCTCACTGATAGGCCTGTCTTTAAAAAACTGATCTGATGCTTGTAGGTAAGCCACATAACTAAAGGACATACAACCATGTCACAATGTGGTCAATTCAGATAAGGTCACAAAATACCAAACACGCCCACATTCCTAAATGAGAGACAGCTATTACTCTATCAATTACAGTTTTTCCTTGCCAATGATTCCCTATATAGATAAAATGTATTAACATATGTAGTTTCTAGTTACTCAATCCAAACTGAGGATTTATTTCCCCAAAATTCTTCCCCAAAGAACCCAATCTATACAATGAATAAAATCTATATTGGGCTTTGTTCTAACATCCTCACTAATGTACATTATAGTTTCCCAAAATGAGCATTCTTCCCTCCCTGCAATAAATAGTAAATGGGACTTATTCAATAAGTATGTTTACGGTGGCCTTTCGCTAATAGACATTAAACAACAGGCCTGGCCTATTTGCTAGAGATCAAAAAGCTTAAGAATCTATCCTTTTGTTAGTTTCTAGACTGTGATCACACAGTCTCTCAATTTAAGTGAATAACATATTTCTTCATCTTCTTACTCTTTTTATTTAAACTATGGAACTGAATAAAATTATAATGCAAAATTATTATGGACATTAAGGAATTATTAATTGTAGCCTAGAATTTCAACTTCAAGGTTTTTGCTTTCCCATTCCAAAGTCACATTAACTGCAAACTGTTTCTGCAAAGAAGATGCAATAAAAATTTTCTTGTCATTTTCCTTGCTGACTCGACATATAAAATAATTACATTTATATTAAGTTAACTTTTAAATATTTCCAAATAGTTTTTTCCTTTAAAAAACCTTCTACAACATAAATTCATAGATTTAAATTCCAGTTCTCTCAGGCATTTTAATGCGTAACACTGAGTAAGTAATCTAGTATTTCAATTTCTTAGTTTTAGTTCCCTTAAAAAGAAAGTAGTATCAGTACTTGCCACAGAGGTTATGACAAAGACTGAGATTTAACTAATTAACATTAACTATTGTTAAGCATTTAAAATGTAGTAAGCACTAAATAAATGTTATTGACTATAATGTTTTTAGGCATAAATGGGTCTTAGATAAATTTCTCTAACACTTGAGGTATTTTTTATCTTAGAATATCCAACATGTAAATCTCACGTTTAATACTGCCATTGCAAAATAATATTTAATAAAAATAAATATCCAAGATAAGCTGGTTTTGACAATAAATCATTTAAGTTCAGAAATCATAAAAGCACTGCAAAAAAAGTAACAACAGAATAACTACCATCCATACCCACAAGGGAGCACACTATAGCCATTTACTAAATCTTTTATGGGTTCTAAGTATAAAAACTGACGAAATACGGAAGTAGCATAAGCAACCAGTTCAAACTAGTTCAGCCATATTTGTGTAAACCAATGAACAATCTGCATTTAGAAGTCTATTTTGCATAAGCAAAGCACATTTTAGAAAGATATGCATCCAAGAAGGGTAAATTACCTGAAAATAAGTCTCCGTGGCTATGTTACCAGAATAAGACCTATCTACAGATCATTTTAAACACTGTCACCTAGATCTCAGATGCCATTTATAAAATTTCTGCAAAATGTTACTTTTTAAGGTGGCACTACTAGAATCATGAAGCTTTCGCATGGTTGTAACTTGTTTTCGCAGAAATGGCATTTATATTTTCAGCAAGAAAATATGCCATCTTTAGAAGCAACTGCAAATGTGATGAACTAGTACTTTTTTCATGAAAAACATAGTATATATTCAGATTCTAGAGCTTTGGGGAAATACTATCATTAACTAAATCTTTTCAACAG